GTCCCTCGACATAAAAATGCATACGTATATGCTCCACCCCCGCCCGATCCGTCTCATTCCGACTCGCCACCGTCCGGTTCCTTGCCCAGCGACTCCAGCTCGGCTCGCCGTACGCCGAGATCTCGCGTTTGGTGTGCAGGCCCTCGGTCCCGGCTAGGAGGGCGAGGCATTGCGGGTCCTTGCGCACGCGGTCCGCGGCGCGATTGAAGACGGCGACTTTGCTGCTGGAGGAGAAGACTTCGAGGTACAGGACGTAGGCTACTGTGCCGGTGAGGCCGACGCCCAGGAGGATGAGGCCGAGGTTGAAGGATTGTTGGGTTGTGCGGGCGGCTTTTTCGCCGAGGGAGAGGTTTTTCCAGGGGACTTGGCCGGTGTCGTTGACGACGGTGATGCTGCGGCGGCGGGGGGTGGGGGTGTCTTTGGGTAGGGAGGAGGTGGTTGCTAGGCGTGCTTGCTTGATCCAGAGGGTGGGAGGTTTGTATGTAGCTCGGGAAAATGCTCGTGCAGAGCGACCGGATATTCTCAGCGCCATCGTCGTCGTCGGGACATGTTGGTGCTCTTTGCAGAGCAGACCTTCATGTTATGTGCCTGCTTGAAGCTCGTGCACGCGGAGGTGGAGACGCGGGGAAGTGAGCTAGCTCTTGGCAAGAGATGCACACAACTTCCCGTTTGGGAAAGAGCTCACGTTCTGCGATGCAGAAGCACGACCAACTCTGCTTCTCAATCATGAATGCGGCTCTCGGTGAATTGGGTCATCTTCTACGAGTCTTGGACGAACGCGACATCCCACTCAGTCAAGATGATGTCGCTTGGGCTTTCGATCACCAGGAGACGAACTCTGAGATCACATCATGGGTACAGGAGTACTTATATCCACCGACGTTGCTGACCAAAGAGGAGCTGCACTAGTACGCCTGTACCGACACTGAAGGCGCCACGATTCCGCTAACTGTTGAACAGCCATACCGCCCATCCTAACGGCGTCGAGAATCATACCGGCCACGGCTCTCCCGGACGGCCACTCTCGGACGGCGATTTCGAAGCAGCAATCGCCTCGCTCGAGGCCAGTACTGCCGCCATCAGCAAGCAATGCCAGCTCCTCGAGACACAAAAGCAAGCCTTGACCGAGCTGAAGGCCCGAAACGCCAGCCGCGACGGCAGCACTGCAGCTCGGGATCGCCAGAAGAAGCTTGTTCGCGAGAAAGCACAGCTCGACTTTGCAGTCGACGAGCTGGCTGATGCGCTGCGGTCGAAACTGCAGACTTCGAATAAGCAGATCGACGCAACAGTCAGTAGCTTGCCCCTTGGCATCGACCGGATCCTAGAGAAGGACGACGGGATACTCGATGGAGTGCAGAAGCTACTACCGAAACTGAGTGATACTGATGCGGACCAAAACGCCGGTGAAGAGATCGACCGCTTGTGCCAGGTCTTGACGCTCCTATCTGCACAAGAAATTCGATTGCGCATCGACGATGTGTACCGAGCGCGTGCTGGCTCGCCACCTACCAAGCCCAACGGTCAGACGACCGAAGCAGAACAACAGCAGCGATCTCTTCGACTCGAGCTCGACGAATTGTCCCAAGAAATCGATAGTCTAGCCACCATGGCCGTAGACACCCAATTCCGCGTCCCAATCCTCCGCGACTTACAAGCCACCAAATGCGAAGCCGAAACCGACCGCGCACGTTGCGGCGAGTTTGTGTCGACCACCCTCCACTACCTCACCACTCGTCTCGTAGCGCTAGAGCAGCACAGCCAGCACATGCACACCCATCTACGCGCCCTCGCGGAACTGACAAGTGCCCTCGAAACCACCACACGTGCCCCACCCAGCGCGCCCACGACGTCCCAGCATACACGACACGCGGCACAGCAGACGGCTCCACCTCAGTCGTCACCGGCTACGCCCACCTCTTCAGCGAAAGGTCTCAAGCCCCTCCACCTCGTCCGAGCCAATTTCTCCGAGCCGGCAGACCACATCGCGCAATTGCTTCGTTCATTCGAGATCCGTGTCGGAGACACGACCGACACGGATAAACTCGCCGGAACCCTCGAGCTAGCGGCCAGAAGCCGGCGTGCACGGCTGATACAACTTCGTGAGAGCACGGAGCGCGCGGTTTCGGAGCAATTGGCTGAGACGGTCGGGAAGGCTGATGGGGATGTGGAGGATTTGCTGCGGGCGCTGTACGCGCATTCGACGTTTGGGACTGTGGGACTTGTGGATCCGGAGGTGGCGGGTGGGTTGGTAAGGCTGGAGAGGCGGACGCAGGGATTGGGAGAGGAGATGAGGAGGTTGGATGGTGAGGGCATTGCGAGGGTGGTGAGGGAGAGACAGAGGGAGGTACTGGGGCGGAGTTGAGACAGGCATGGGACTTGAGTGAGCACTGTAGGGCCGGAAGGACAATTGCACAAATTCCACCTTTACGCTATTTAAGTCAATGCAGCCTGCTGCCGTAGCTTCGTAAAGTGTTGATAGATCCATCCGTAGATGACATTGGTTCCCAGTGTCCCGTATATGATCATAGAGACCCTGAGCCAATAGCGCACCTCAAGTAAGTGTAGCCATCGCGGCTGCCACCATCTTCGCCTTCTTCCGTCTTTCCTTTTCTTCTGCAAGGATCACGGAATCGTCAGCGTATGCCCATCTATCACAAACAATGCGAAGAAAGGGAAAACAGCACAAACACAGCCACGCCAACCCACCCTTAATGTGCAGAGCGAACCAGCGCCATCCTACCTTTCCGATCCTTCTCCACCCTCGTCACATTCCTCGCCGGACTCTTCTCCCTCTCCACAACCTCCAGCACCTCGCGATCCGGCCGCCTCCTCCCCCCCTCCCGGTACTCCACGAGCTGGTACTCCTCCTCCGGCCGGATCCTAACCGCCACGGCCCGCTTCTCCTCAGCCTCGCGCTCGAGCCGTAGAGCCCGCCGCTCAGCCTCCAGCTGCCGGATCTCGGACTGTATATCCCGATCGCTGCGGTAGTCCGTGCGTTCGCGGACGACGAGGGCGCCGAGCCCGGTAGGTGCACCCGGGGGTGGTGGAGGCGGCATGCGCTCTTCGATCACCGTGCGGCGTTCCTCGTAGTACTCTGGAGAGGGAACCCGCGGCGGAGGCGGAGGCATGCGCTCTTCGAAGACTGTGCGGCGTTCTTCCACGTAGGTGCCGGGTGAGGAGGGACGGCGGGAGCGCGTCCGCGTCGTGCGAGCGGGGGAGGTGCGACGGGTGGTTACGCTGCGTGCGCTGGGTGACTCCGCGCGGACGGTACGAGCGCGTTCAGTGCGTGGTGGCGGTGATTCGGCGCGGACGGTGCGGGCGCGCTCGGAACGGGGGCCCGTCATGATGACTGTGGGTGGGTTGATCCACTCGGTCTTGATGATCTCTTCGCGCTCACCCATGGGAGGCGGTGGGAGAGGGGCAGGGATCTGCTCCTCGATTCGCTCCTCGAAGCGGTAGACCGTTTTGTTTCCTATGAGATATTAGTCAGATATTACAGGTGCACTCGTCAGGATTGATTCCGTACCACCCTCCTTATACTGCTCGCTGATCTTAATCACTTCATCAATCTGGTCCTTCTCGAGCGCAATCCGGAGCACGTAGAAGTTGTCTTCCTCGTCGTACGGGTACCCAAGATCCTGGATCGCCTCGCTACGCACCAAACGCTTCGGCATGCGGGTCTTGCCTTTCTTGAAGCCACGCTTGGTCTCTGCAATGCTCTCACGAATGCTCTCGGCTTTGTCCATTTCCTCGGAACTCTCGCTGCTCTCGCTACTCGGTGAAGTGCGTCTAGTAGTCACAGACTTGGCACGCGTGCTCTTGGTCTTTCGTGTCGGTGCCTCGCTGGGAGCCTTGCTGCGAGCGTCACCGCCTCGGTGACGATGCACGGAGCGCTCACGTGTAATCTCCATCTCACGGTAGTCCTCCGGCGCCCGGTAACGCGGCCCTTCTTCGTAGATGTCTTCATGTCGCCGGATAGGCAGCGGGACAGGCGTGTACGCCGGCATCCGATAGTCCTCTTTCTCGTAACGTGCAGGCCGGCGATCGAAAGTGTCGAGACTGCTCTGGCGTCGCAACAAACCCGGACGTGCCGCGGGAGGACGTCGCTCAAACTCTGCATCCTCTTGTCGTCCGATACTCTTCCGTCTGTAAGGCGTGAGCGCCATGTCCGCAAATTCACGCGGGTCAACATCCCCGAACAGCTCCTTGTCCGTCCTCCGCCGCGGCCGCGCCGAGCCCGGTGCAAAGCGCTCTTGCTCAACATAGCGATCGCGTTCATGATAGGAGCCACCCGGGCCTCGCTCGTCGATGCGGTCTGCTACCTCAACTTCCCGCCGGCCCGGGCGGTCACGCTCGGTGAAGCGGTAGTCCTCCTCGAAGCGCTGCGGCGGTGGTCCGCGTGAGCCGAAGCGTTCGAATCGATCCCGATCCCATCGCTGAGGTATCTCACCGTTGTCCGCCGAAGAGCGCGGTCCGCCCCCATAGCGTGACATGGTGCCCACTTGCTTTGACCGTCGTCGTTGGCCGATGAGGAGGTTTGGGACTGCCCTTGTTAGAGAAGTAGCTCGATTGACCTGGGAGTGACTTTCGGGTCTGGCTCTAAGTGCTGCACGCGATGGGGTGTTATTAGCGAGGAGGTTGCAAGTGGTGCAGCTCCCCGGAAAGCAGGCTGACGATGGTGCGAATGGCTAGCAGCACACTGCATGCAGCCGGTGCGTCACTTCTGCCCAATAATCGGCAGGGATGCACTCGCTGATTGTGACCTTGGACTTGCCAATCCATCTTGTACTCGGAGCGACCAAGCATGAGATGACCACCAGACTCATTACTCTTGTGTGCATGACTTTCACAGCGCCCGAGTCCATCAGATCACGAAGGCTAAGCTTCGGCAACAAGAAATAGGCAACATATACATTCACAACATGCACGCGATTGAGGTTTGGTGATGGACTCCTGCCCAAACTTTCGGGGATTTCGACTCGCCGTCCAGCTACGCATACGGCCGTTTGGCTCAATGGTAGAGCGTCCGCCTCCTATTAGAGGTTCAGCGGAAGGTTGTGGGTTCGAGTCCCATGATGGTCGACGAGTGGATCATTGTCTTTTTGGCCTTGCCAGCGTTCGTTCACAGACGTTCATACATGTACCAGACGTTCTTTTGTCACACCTGCGTACCCCGTCAAGTTCCTGGCATCATCACACATGCATGCACTGTATCGCGTCCTGCCCTCACCAAGTTGACGCCATTGCGCGATGACCGGCATCTTTGATAGTGTAATAGTGTGACTCTCATACTCTACGCGCATGGCAACGCCCCACAGTTCGATCGCCCCGACATGACCACAAGGCTCCTCCGTGCTCAGGCCGCAACTACATCCAGGTGCTCAGACCTGTTACTTCTCCCCAAGAAGAAGTCTTCGTCTTGCGAGGTTCATTCACACCAATCGAAACCTCCATCGATGCCGTGGGGTGGGTCTCACGCCCATGGTCCTGATGGCAAGAAAGGAATGTCTTCAAGCGTCCCTTAGCCTCGCAGGCTCGGTAACGGCTAGCAGGGCGGTGGAAGTGCTCACATGAGCCCCAGGTTCTTTCTACGGGACAGAGGTAAGGATATGCACTTGAGATGCCGGTCCAGCAGAGGTAATTGATTACTGGTCTTCGAAACGCGTCTTCAGCTTCACACGCTGACTGCCAATCGTCGATTGGTGAATCGCGTTAGCTGAAGATTTTAGAGGACGCGATATATCAATCGACGTCTCAAGCTACTTCATGTCCCATTGATGGTCAATGAGAGGCACTACCAATCCGTTGATGCTCAGTGCCAGTCATCAACACATGTATGTACCCCAGATGCTTCTGGTCCAGTACATGTAGCTCCTGACTTGCTACCCTTGCTACACCTTACCATCATCAGATAAAGCATTGTGCATTGCTACGCGGTCAAGGACGACAACTAGCGTCGAAGACATGTTGCTCATATCACTGTCGATTGCGCCGCGCCACTGTACTGTCTTGGAGAGGAGGCAGACGGGCAGATACATGCCGCCGCTCAGCTTGCAAAACCCCCCCTCGGCTGATTCTTGCTCCTGTTTGGCTGCCCATGGCATGACAAGCTTCGCGGTCCACTACGACATGTCGCGGAGGTAGACTTAGGTTGTTATTGTTAAGTTGTCTTCCTCAATCTCTCCTTGGATGCAGCCCTGTGAAGATGAAGTGCCGAATTGCCACGTGGTGAGGTCCATGTCCCGCGTCGCACCGTCCGTCCTCCCACTCTGCCCCTCCACATGGCGTCACCCCCACTTGCCGACCTCGCACGGCGGTGCTTGCTCCAATCACACCCGCTACAAATGGCCGCCAACAGCAATATCTCTGGCCCTTGACCACTTCAACAGGCACAGATTCTGCTCCTTACGGCAACTCACCGGTGTCGTCGGGCTCAACCGCGTTACAGCGTGTCCGAGTCGCTGCCGAGCGAGTCCGTACATGTACATAGGCATGCTTGGGCGGACGCACTACAGTGACTACCACCCCCCCAGTATCCACTCTTGGTGGACCGCAGGCGTAAAAGTTGCAAGTACATGAGCTAGCCTTCGCAGCAGTGGTGAAGGCTGCGCCATAGCCCTTTCTTACCTTCTCATCAGTCAGTACTTCATGCATCAGCCGTAATCGCCCGACGACCTTCCTGACGACTGCACATCAGAACCACAAAGGGCACCACCATGCCTGAAGCGCTCCTCGACGACATCTCTCATCGCCGGTATAACCCACTTCGAGGATCATGGGTATTAGTGAGTCCGCACAGGACCAAGAGACCGTGGCAGGGACAGCAGGAGGCTTCGAACAGGATAGAACTGCCTAGCCACGACCCATCGGTGGGTAGCCACACCAGCATTGATGGAGGCGGAAGAGTAGCTGTCTGACGGAGACAGTAGTGCTATCTATGTCCTGGCAACAAGCGTGCGCAAGGCGATGTCAACCCCGATTACGAGAGCACGTTTGTGTTCGTCAACGACTACGCTGCGGTACGAGAACAACAGGCCGAGTATGAGCCGCCGGCACAAGATGGCTGTGAGTCGCGCGTCGACTGGGTTACAAAGAGGGTCTGGGCTAATAAACTCCAGCTCTCGCGACCCGACTTCTCAAAGCGGAAAGCACGACTGGAAAATGTTACGTCATCACCTTCTCGCCAGAACACAACGTCACCCTCGCGGACATGCCGGCGTCGACCATCGTGCCCGTGATAAATAAATGGACCAGTATCTACACCTCCCATCTAGATCCACACTCGCCGCTCGCCAAAGCTGCGAGACCGACCACAATGCCACCTTCCGGAATTACCAACGGCAGCCTCAACAGTCAACCCAAGCAGCAATATCGGTACATGCAGATCTTCGAAAACAAGGGCCAGGCAATGGGCTGCTCAAATCCGCATCCACACGGCCAGATCTGGACCACCACCTCGCTTCCGGAGGAACCCGAGAGCGAGCTGCACCACCTGAAGCAGTATCGACGAGAGCAAGGTGGTAGCCATCTCCTCAAGGACTATGCGAAGCTGGAAAGTGAAAAGGGCGAACGGACGGTCTTTGAAAATAGCAGCTTCTGGGCTGGGTGTCCGTGGTGGGGCACCTGGCCGTTCGAGATCATGGTGGTGGCGAAGGAGCACAAACGGGCGCTGGTAGATTTGGACGAGCGGAATAAAGAAGATCTCGCCGAGGTCATTGCGGAGATCACGAAGCGCTACGACAACCTCTTCGAGACGAGCTTCCCCTACAGTAAGCCCCCCCTCTCAATCCCACCTGTGGCACGCCACCTGACTGACGATGGCGACACAGGCATGGGCATCCACCAAGCCCCCCTCTCCGGCACAGCAGAAGAAATCGACGCCTCGCACTTCCACATGCACTTCTACCCGCCCTTACTCCGCAGCGCCACCGTCCGCAAATTTCTCGTCGGCTACGAGATGATGGCCGAGCCGCAGCGGGATATCACGCCGGAGCAGGCGGCGAAACGACTGCGGGATTGCGGCGGGGAGCTGTATCGGCGGAAATTATAGACGGGCGGGATGGGATGGGTTGGGATGGTTTGGGACGGCGATGCATACTAGCGAGCGAGCGAGCGCGGCAGCGCTGGAAGCGCGTTTTCGGGGCTGAGGCCGAGCTGGTAGGAATGGGAGGATTACGGTATCGTCAGCGGGGTTTAGAGCATGATGTGGTCTGTAGGACGGAGCTCCCATATAACTGAGCAGTGTCAAATGCTGGCGACGGGCAAGCAATCAAGCGCGATGTATAGCCGCTCTCGTGTTTCAGCCCGAAAAAGAGTCCTTCCATGTACACGCTGCTCGTTTCCTCGGGAACACACGCGAGAGACCGACGAACACGAGCTATGATGATGACGACGACGCTCTGCCGGACTGTGCTGCGGAAGAGCATACCTACGGTAGGTAGTTGGGGACGACTTTGGGGAGCTCTAGGAACCCTGTTCAGAGGATTTACGTGGAGTCTACCGAACCCCAGCGGACGCGCACGTCCAGGGCTTGGCAGGACGGAGTCGGCGGTAACGACCGCGAGCTTGACAGTCTTTACACTGCCGGGACAACGGCACCGGCGGATGGAAGTCAGCCGACCCAAGTCGTGTATGCTGGTCCACCGACGAGTAAGCTCAAAAGCGACTCGGCCCCGTTTGCCCATGGGTAGTGGGGTATATTGCATCTTCCACTGCCTAGATGTCCTGGGAATCAAAAAGGCGAGCGATTCTAGACAGGTAGTGCAGTCGCGTCGCTGACGCTCACCCCGACCGCCTCGAAGTGCGCGCCGTAGTCCGCCTAGGTAGGATCACCTCCGCCTCAGTCGACTCGCCCTCATCCTCGTCGCTTGCTCCGGCAGAGCTGGCGGCGAAGTACTGGCTCTTCAGCGGCGTTAACTTCTTGGCTACGCGAGGCTTTCGGGGGTGGGTTTGTGGCTGGAGGATGACTTTCGGCGAAGCGGGCTTGCTCTTCTTGCTTCTGGAGGATGGTTGGGGTTCGGAGTCGGAGTCGGAAGTTGCGTTGCTGCTGGTTGCGCCTTCGTCAGCGAGGTCGGAGAGGGAAGATTCGCTCTCGCTTGTGGCTTTGGGATTTGATCTGCGGTTCGGCTCTGCTTTTTGTGCAACCTTGCGCTTTCCGGGCGGAGGGAGTGCACGTTTTGTCGTTGTATTGTCACCCATCTTGACATCTTCGGTGTCGCCGTTGGCTCTGCCACTTGACTTGTGTGACAATGGTAGCGAGATAGGCGTAATAGGGGTCTGCTTGTTTGAGGCCTTGCTTTTGACTTCGCCCGGCAGCTCTTCGACAAGGTAACCTCCGTCCCCAGCAGTATGATCTTCCTCGCCGCTCTCCGCGAGAAATCCACCGCCACCATCCACGTCATCGCCGGCTTCAGGAACAGCAGCTTTCTTTCGATCCTGCGGGACCTCCTCCTCGTCATGCCCCGGTAAGAAGAACCCACCACCCTCGTCATCAGCTCCCGCCTCGGCCTTCTCGCGCACATCCACCACCTTCCTCCCTTCCCTCTTCGCCTTCGCCACAAACGGGTTCACCTCATCCTGCCCTCCTCCACTCCCCTCGTAGTCCACCCTCATCCTCTCCAGTACCCTCAACCCCAACACCATCTTCCGCCACCACTGCAACGCGACCGCAGTCCTCTTCACATCCTCCTTCCGCTTTATCTCCTTCTGCTCCTCCCTCCACGCCTCCCTCAACAAAATCTCGTGCTCCTCCGCAACCACTACCCCCGTCAACACAGGAACAGCGCGCTGCTTGCCAAACTCAAACCCAGTGCACGCCTCCGCATAATCAATCTCCAGCTTCCTGCACAGCTTCGCCGTGCCCTTGAGCGGCACATGCACAGCGCCGCCCGGCACCATGGTAGGGACATAGACGTCCATGTTCCCGAACGCGTTCTTCGGAATCACGCCGTCGCGGATGGGAGGCGGGATAATCCAGTCTGTCTGCTCGCGGCTGTACAGTCCTTGCTTGAGCTTCTCACCGGTCTCGCGTAACGCGTCCTCCATCTCCCGTTTCCGGATCAGCGTCACAGCACGCATGGGGA